CAGGAAATTGCCTGTGCAAAGTGAACAATCGATAATGGAGAAAAGAACCCCATGAATGCAACATCCAAGCTAGGAGTTCTCCTTGCAGAAAGTCAATTCTTCCACCCAGAATTTGACATCTAAACTGGCAGAACACTCCATGGCATCCCAAAACTGCCTCTTTGTAGGTCAGCCTCTCCATCCTATCCCCAACTGAAGGCTAATTAAGAAATTACAAAATATATTTTTTTTACCTAGCTATACTATTTATATTTTAAAGGTATATGTAGGACAGGGGGCATAACTACGTAAGTAACCGATCTTCACATTTTTAAGCATTTAAGTTTTCCCAATGAGTGTATACCTCCATGTCCTAAAAAAAGAATGTACCCCTCTGTGGTTCATCATCTTCTTAGTCATAAACCTTAGATACCCAGTAAAATTTGGGACTGGTTATTATCTAAATGGCAATTTTTATAAAAACTTTCTGCTGTGCCTAAAATTTTGAACTTCTAAAGTGCAGATCCAACCTCAAATTTCTGTGCAAGTCCAGTGCCAAGCAGAGCCACATCAAGACCCAAGACAAAAAGAATTATTGTATATTCCTACATCCAAGTTGTTAGGAAATAATTGTAAATATTCTTCCAGAACATTAAAATAACTGAAAAATATGGAAATATTGCAATATTAATATTCTACAACTGACATCACTATTTGCATCTTTGTGCCTGCACCCCCATAGTTACACGACTTGAGAGTTATTCTAGTACAGGTACTTCCTGCCTTTTACTTAAATTTTTGGCATTGAGGACAGCATGGATGTTTTGCATTAATATTGATTTAGTAAAACACCACTTATTTTGATGGCTGAGATTTTGGTAGCCCCTTCAATTTCATCCTCAGGCAATGTTCCAACTTGTATCAACCTGTGCCAGGCCCTGGTGAACCTGGTGCAAATATAAATAAACAAAGTCTGCAACCCTATACTCAGGGTTAGAACAGGGATCAGTGGGAACCAGGGAACAAATTTGGAAACCCCACTGAATCTTAAAGAAGCCTCAATAGTATGGACAACCATGTTATCTTGGGGAAAAGTGAACCGACAATACCATAAGATCTGCTGAATTTGAGAGAAGTGAGAAATCAGAAAAATTGTGAGGAATGCTGTCCATTTTCAAATGTGACCAAATTATTTAATTTAAAACATGAGATTGGAAGGGGATAAATATGGCTGTGTGCTAAATCTCATTTTGAGCAGCCAATTCAGGACCTCTGCTTCAGATCAATACTATTTTCCCAATAATAATATGATAAATTTTCTTCTTGTTCTAGTTACCCTGAGCAATTTAAATTCCAAATGTGACTATTTGAGTATTTCAGCCATTGTTTTTGCCTCAGAAAGCAGAAGCTGTGCACTGCAAGGTGAGCTACTGCTCTGAAGCAATTTCACAAATGACCAAGATTCAAGAGCAACAGGTTTAGGACACCTGGCTTTTAGGTTAGGGCATCTAGCTTCTCACAGAGTAGAGCAAAAACAAAACAAAACAAACAAACAAACAAACAAACAAAAGCACTAAAAAGGCAAATATACTTTCTGGCAAGTAAACTGGAAAAAACAGTCCACTTTAGTGAAAAGTCATAAATCTTTACATGTTACTATACCTATGACTTTTTGTTTTGAACTCATCTTTTAAAAACTGGATGCATACTTTCCGGAATCCTTGAGTTTGGTTCCGACCAGATCCATGGATGAGCAAAGGATGAAAGAAAACTGTGTCTCCCTTCTCCATCACAAGGTGCACTCGGGCATGGTCTTCGTCATAGTCCTGGATCCCATGGAACATGGCGTTAACTCCACCCTGGAACACATGAGACAGGCACAGTTTACAGTGGAGGAAGAAACCAATGCTTTGTGTATGACTTGGCAGGGACAGCAAGGGTTCTCTGACTTCTTCCAAGAGAAAGACTTACCTAAATTAAAATCTTAAATTAAAAAAAAAATGCAAAAGTCTGTGATATGTCTGGGTTTTTAAACATCACCTGCTATGAGTACAGTGGTACACACCTGTGATCCCAGCTACTTGGGAGGCTGAGGCCAGGCATCACAAGTTCAGGGCAGACTAGCAAACTTAAATTAAGATTTGTAAAAAGAGCGGAGGATATAGCTCAGTGATGGAGGGCTTGCCTAGCATGTGCAAGGCTCTGAGTTTGAACCTCAGCAATGCTACAAATTAAAATCACAGGTTATTAATAAGTTCAAGGGGTTTTTGACCAAAGGAAAAAATGTTGAACTTTACCTACCCTTCCTCATTGAATTATCAATAATCTAGATCAGTTCTGCCTCTTGTGGTGAATGCAGGTGAACATCTTTCTCTTAGGCATTTACAGCCTCAATCTTAACATCCTTGCCGCAGCCTGACATTCTCCTCACCTAGAATTGTGTTCACATCATTCTTGTATTAATCAGGGTATTTTAGAGAGGCTAATTATTCTCCCCAAACCAAGTGGAGAATATGCTCAATTTTTCGAAGCTCAAAGGACTTATGTCATATTCAGAATAAAAAGAGAAAAGTAAGTTTAAATACTGTGTTTGTTGATAACTATTTCCAAAGTAGTCAGAACTCTAGGAAATGTGTATGTCCTTATTATAGAAACTAAAATGAGAAGTGACTACATTGATGAGCCTTTATGCATCTGGGCAGAAGTGTCCCATTCCTCAGCTAAGAGTATCCTTTTCGGCAATTACCATTGTCATTGTGCTTCACATTGTGACTTTGACCCCGTGCCCTTCTTTCCTGGCCAAGGTGCATATTGAACCCTGCTAAGCTAAGCAGACCTTCCACTGCCACTGCTGTGAATCTCAGCAGCATCTCAGACATCAGTCTGCTCCCATAGCCTTGGACACCATTCCCTTCTGCTCAATCAGCCACAGCCTCCTTAGGATTGCACCAACTCTTGCCTTTCCCTAAACTTAACTGATGAATTTCACCATTTCCACTTTTATATCAGGATTCAGACTCAAATATTTCCACAGAACACAATCAGTAGTGCAAGAATTTGGAGAGAAAAGCCCTTGAAGCCATAGCCTTCACATCCTACAGAAGCAAGACTCAGTCTCCTTGCTCACCACAGCTGCCCTTTCCATTCTGACCATTTTTGAGGATTTCAGGATCTTCTGGTCTAGCATCAAAAAGGCTGAGAATCTTCTCTCTGGTTTTGCTGCCTCTGAGCTCCTACACCTCCTGGGAATCATGAATCATGCCTCAGACTCATCATTCATGGGTGCAGAAGCACATAATAGCTTTTCAGCATCAACATTTGAATGGATAAACCAACCATTGTTCAGCCATGCCTCAGAATACTACTCAGGAATGGAAAGGAACAAGCTACTGAGACATGAGTCAGGTTTCCTGAGCCTCTAAATACCTATGCTGTGCAACAGCAATTACTCAAAAAAATATATGCCACATGATTAGACTTACACGACATTTTATAAAATGCAAATTAATCAATAGGAACAGAAAGCAGGTGAGTTCTTGCCTGAGGCAAGAGACAGAAAATATCCTCTTGATTATGATGCCAGGTATGTGTGTGTGTCAAAATGATTAAATTACACACTGAAAATATGTGCCATCTATTATATGACAAAACCCCATATTATTAGAAATTAAAAGCTCTTGCTGCTTCCTAAAAAGGGAACAACCCTATTTTCTTCATGTAACCTCCAAGTGTTAAAGTACTTTTTAATCCTGACCTAACATAGCTTTCCAGGCTCTCCTCCCTCTCCTACTTCCTAACATGTGCCTCCACCCCCAGCCCATCAGAACTGGGATAACCTTCAATCGTTCCTACTCCACAGTGAGATCTGCACTTGTCAATAACTCTGATGCCTCCAAGGAGCCTTTTTGCGATAGATAATCTACCTTGTCCTTCAAGGCTCAGCTCAATCACCCCCTCCCACCCCTGAGCCCCTGCTGGTCCTCACAGGGACAAGGAGACAATCCCTCCCTCCCTTCCTCTACTCTGAGAGCCTCAGTCAGCGGGCACTTCACACACACCAGAGTTGAGGGGTTGATGTCTGACCTCTGCCATCAGGCCTCACCATCTCAGATCCTAGGCCTCTCCAACACAGGTCCCCAATCTAGCTGGCTTTCACACCCATGATGAAAGAAAAATACAATGAATATTTGATCTGATGTCCTTGAACTCCCCCTGATCCTAATTGCAAATTTCAGGACAATGCTTTGCTGAGAAAGGAAAGCAGTCTCATTTCTAAGCTTTTTGCACCTGATGTAAAATAACAACAGTGAAAGAGATTCTGATCCAGACTCAGTGGTAAGACAGACCTACCTCCCACTGGGGGTAGTCATGTGGCTTCAGGCAACCTTTATGGGTGCCTGGGAGGACAACCAGACAGCCGTTGTTCCGGTCAATGTGCTCCATGGCAGTCCAAGCACAAACAATGCGATTGCTGGGCCTGAAGGGGAAATAGTGCAGATCCTGGTGCAAGGGGTGCCGGGAAGTCTTCTTGCCTGAAATGAGCCTGCTGTCAAAAGGAGCTTGAGCCTCACAATTCTTATTTTTATTGTGTGTATGTGTATGTGTGTGTCTATGTGTGTGTGTTGTGCTGGGGATTGAACCAGGGCCTTGTGCATGCAAGGTGAGAATTCTACCAACTGGGTTATATCCCCAGCCCCAGAATTCTTATTCTTTGCCTGAATAAATAACACATTGACCTTCCCTTGCAAAAAACAACCACATCAAACACTGTGTGGTTTCCATTATGGAAAATCAGTCCCAAGAGAACAGAACCAAACAAATATAGCAGTCAACATGGGGCTTGGAATCTACACTTTCTTCTGAGTTTCTGGTTGCTGGGTGCTTACTCTCTTTTCTAGGGAGCTGCATATACTTCATCATTTCTGTTGTGCTTTATTCCTCTGTCACTCTGAATTTGGCACAGAGCTAGTAGGCAGTAGGAATTAAAAACTGGATGAACTAAATTGAAGATAATGTTACAGAGTCAAATTTGAGGTCCGCTTCAAAGTGGCTGATGCCAAAAACAGTTCCCTTAGAGGTCTTAATTCACAAGCATCCTGTGTACAGTCAGTATCCATTCAGATTAATTGACCACAAGTACATTTTCCCCAGTTTGAGCTTAGAACTTGGTTCCCCAACTACTTCATCTCCCCAGGCAGGACATCCATGGAGGAAGACATTTAGTAACCCTGAGCTTCAGTCTTATCATATAAAAATTGCCCAGCTCTCAGAAGGAACTAAAAGTAGAAAAGAATAAAGCCATTCATGGTTGATTTCTGTTACTGTTACAGAAAAATCTCTCCATGTGGTCTGAGAGCCACCTGCAGTAGAATCTCTGGGGATGGTATTAAAAGGCAGACACCTGGGATCTACTTCAGAATTGGTGTCTCATTGAGGACTTAGATATAGGTTTGACAAGCACAAGGCACCACAAGGTGAATGTGACTTGTAGTAATAGCTTTCATCATGTTACTAATAATGATATCTTCAGATTAGGAATGCAGAATCTGTGTGATCCTGGCTAAGAATGGTGGGTAAAGATCAGAGATGTTGAACAGAAGGAGTCTATGATACAAGAACAGTCACATTTCTTAAACTGCCACTTCAGACAGCCAATCATTTGAAAATTTAGCAATAACATATCATCACATACTCCAAAGTTGGTATAACATGAACTCTTTTAAGACTTAAACAAAAGCACTCAAATTCACTCAACCAAAAGAATTTGGTTACACACCTTACTGTAACAACAACTTTACATATTTTAATTACACAATCTTTTTTTTCTTTCCTCTCTTTAACAAATAAGAGCCTTTTACCAGTATCTGGAGGTTTGTTAATCAGCATTGTGTGCATCGCCATGATATTGGGTCCAGTGAAGCACTCCACATACTTCAGAACCTGAGAAAAGGAAGAAGAAAAACAACCTCATGGGAAATCAGAATTATAGGCAAGGGCATAAAGAGTCCACACAAGAATCAAAATGACAACAATATAAACATCAACTGGTATTTTGCAATCTTGCCAAGCATGTATACCTCAGAGTTGGAAACCATTCTAAATTTCCAACACTACAAATTAAATATGACTTTTTGAGCATGCCTGGAGAATAATCCAATGAGTGTGGTCATTCTCTCAACAACTCTTCCCTCAGGTTCATGAACCAAGCAGAGTAATGGCCAGAGGAAAACAAAGAGTGAACAAGAAAAGAAGGTCCCTGTCCCCATGGAGTTTTAGTCCCTTGAGAAGAAAGGAAAGTAGGGAATCTGAACGTCATGGATGATAGTGCTTCATTCACCATGAGATAGTTCTGGCTTCAAGTGCTATCTATGATCTACCTGCAGACTTCTATTCCCACCACAGCATGGGATGGTTGGGGGCCATTTTCCCTGGCCTTTTCTCCAGGGTGCTGGGTGGGACATCACAGGTGATTTACCTGTGCTATGTGTCCTCAGGAGTAAAACTGTCTAATAACATCTGGTTATGATTTTCCATGAGTGCTATATGGAAAGTCTCTTTCAAACTTATTTTAAACAAGTAGTTAGGAAAACATGGTGCTAAAAGGTGGAAGTGTACAAATACATTTGAGGATGCAGGAACGAATTTCAGAAGAATGCACAAAGCGCTCACAGCAAACAGAGCTTCAGTAGAAAGAATCTGCTTCTCATGTTGTGCCTTCTGCACTGCTTAGGAGATTATATATATATATATATATACACATATATATATATATATATATATGAAATATGAGAAATATATATATATATGAGAAATACCCTTAAAGAAGAATAATTTCAAAAACAAAAACAAACCCTAATTTAGGCCAAGCCTTGTGACATATGCCTGTTATCCCAGCTCCTTGGGAGGCTAAGGTAGGAAAATCAAGGCCAGCCTCAACCACAGCATGACTCTTTCTCAAAACAAAGAATAAAGAAGGTTGGAAGTATAGTTAAGCGATAAAGTGCCCCAGAGTTCAATCCATAGTTCCATAAATAAATAAAATTAAATAAAAACTAATTTAAGAGTTGGGGTTGTAGCTTAGTGGTAGAGTGCTTGCCCAGCACATGTGAGGCCCTGGGTTCTATCCTCAGTACCACATAAAGATAGGTAAATAAAGGTATTGTATCCATTTACAACTACAAATTTAAAAAAAACTAATTTGAATTTAAAAGCAAAATCATTCTATCAACCCGATTTATGAAACAAATAGAAAAGTCAATACATTTACAAATACAGCCTCACAATTTTACCCCTGTTGATATTGAGTCTTGGAACAGCTGTTCCTCTTTCACATAAAATTCCTATCTTTCTTAACAAAAGATAATTAGCACACTCCACAGCAGCGTTTCACTGTCTTGATGCTACTGGTATCTTGGTTGGGATAATTCTTGGGGGAGAGGGCGTCATAGGATGTCAGACCCCATTACCAACATCTTTGGTCCCTACCCAGTAGAAGTCACTAGTGTATCCTCTATGAGGTTGTCATCACCAGGAAGTCTTCACACATTGCCAGTATCCACTGGGAGGCAAAATCACCTCGATCTGAAAGCCACCATGCTAGCACCATGAGTAAAAGAGGATTAAATCCAGGACAACCAGTGGATCTTGGAGAAGATCTCCAAGCTGGCTATGAAGGAGAAACCAAAACAAGAGTAGTCTCTAACCTCTGGGAGAGTGCAGAATCTAAAGAGCTCCTTATCTTCCTGAAAATCTTGGATCTTCGAGATTGTTTTCTCACTTGGAGTATATTCTGATTTTGCAATGGACACATCTCTCATTACCATCAGTCCTACTGGTTTCGACTCCTCTCTGCAGATTTTTTCAAATTCAACCCTAGAAAATTAAATAAACAAACAATGTCATGACCTCTGCTCTAAGCCCCTGGTTGACCCTGACCTGTGCAAATAGCTGCAGATTCAGGAGCAGTTTCTACCTAGTCAGCCCTCAGGCCTAGTGAGGCAGGGAGGAGGAAATGGCCAACTCAGAAATCGTAGTCTCCTAGCTGAAATCCACTGCCAGAATGATAATATTGCTTTGTTTAACACCTCAGTAGGAAGACATTTTCATGATTACATTGTAATAATACAAGGTGAATATCCCTTATCTGAAATACTTAGAACTAGAATATTTCAGATTTCAGGTATTTTTTGGTTTGGAGAATATTGACATGTACATAATGAGCTGATTATGATAGAGCATGCCTGTTATCCCAGAGAAGTGGCTGCAGGATAGTAAATTTGAGACCAGTCTATTCAATTTCAAGACTGTCTGAAAATTAAATATACAAAGAACTGGGAATAGAACTTCATGGTAAAGTTTTCTTGGGTTCAATCCCAAGCACTAAAAACAATAATAACCTTTGTTTGTTTGTTTGTTTTTGGTACCAGAGATTGAACTGAGGGGCACTCGCCCACTGAGCCACATCCTCAGCCCTATTTTGTATTTTATTTAGAGACAAGTCTCACTAAGTTGCTTAGTGCATCGCCATTGCTAAGGCTGCCTTTGAACTCAGGCTCCTCCTGCTTCAGCCTCCCGAGCCACTGGGATTACAGGTGTGTGCCACCTCGCCTGGCTGAAAATAATAATAATAATCTTAATAACAAAAATAGGGGCTGGGGATGTGGCTCAAGCGGTAGTGCGCTCGCCTGGCATGCGTGCAGCCCAGGTTCGATCCTCAGCACCATATACAAACAAAGATGTTGTGTCCACCGAAAACTAAAACAAAAATAAATATTAAAATTCTTTATGGGGCTGGGGTTGTGGCTCAGCGGTAGAGCACTTGCCTAGAACATGGGAGGTCTGGGTTCGATCCTCAGCACCACGTAAAAATCAATGAATAAAATAAAGGTATTGTGTCCAACTACAACTAAAAAATAAATATTAAAAAAAAATAACAAAAATAATAATGAGATGTCCTGGAGATGACACTAAGTCTCATCCCCAAATTACTTTATGCTTCCTGTATACCTTATACACATAGCTTAAAGGCAATTTTATACAAAGTTTTTAGTGTATCTGTATTGTGGCCAAGACCATCACATGGGTCAGGCATGGAATTTTTCCCTTATGATATCATCTTGGTGCTCAATGATTCGTATATCAAATTTTCTGATAAGTGATGCTTGGCTTGTAATAGCAAATACTCCTATAGCACCTACCTTATACCAGGCATTGTTCACAGTGCTCTCCATATATTTCACCTTATCTTGTCTCAATAATAATGCCAGATCAGTGCTATTACTATGCCCATTTTACAGAGGAATACACACAGGTATGGAAAACTTAGTTCATACTCTTTGGTCCAATACTTCTAGTTGTAGGTCTTTAAGAAAATGACCTTAAAATGTCTGTGGGACACACCATGTTAAGTGGTAAAGCTGAGATTAAGGCCAGAAATTCTGGCTCCAGAGCCCATGCTTCTAAACACATCCCAACAAAACACATCATTCAACATACCTGAACATGCAGAGGCTAATCTAACATGTACTCCCATCACATACATGACATACATATTTTATGAATTTTTATTCTTCTATTACAATTATACCTAATAGTAGAATCCATTGTGATATATTCACACTTACACAGAGTATCAATTGGTCAGTTTCATTCCCCAGCACCTCTCCTTTTCCTCCCCTCTTCCATCCCATGGACCCCTTTCCTATACTCTACTGATCTTCCTTCTGTTTTCATTAGACCTCTTTTTACCCCCTTGTTTCTCTCTGGTTTCCACATATGAAAGGAAACAATGACCCTTGACTTTCTGAATCTTACTTACTGCACTTAAATGATATCCTCCAGTTCCACCCTTTTCCCTGCAAATGACATAACTGCCATAAAACATTTTTTTGTGTGTAAAATAAGCAAGAGTATTTCTGCACCTAAAGCGTTGAATATCAGCATCGGGTACTAGATTTTTAATAACAAGAAATCCATTTTCTTCATAAAATTTTCTCTGTTCCAGGCTTAGCACATCATTATCCAAAGTATACCTATAAGAGAAAAAGGCACCAAATTAGTACAAATTTTATATTACAACCTAACATTATGTACCAAGAACCCAAGAAATCTTTGATCCAATAGCTCTAGTATAGGTCTTTAAGAAAATGATCTTAAAATGTTTGAAAAACTTCAGGTCCAAAATATCAACAATGGTCACAAAATGTACAGTAATAAAAGAAAAATTAATGACTGACATACCTACTTGATGGAGCATTAAAACTGAAGGACACAAGAGTGTGAAAAATTCAAATGATAATAAAATGATTACAATGATATAGACATGACATTATTTGTGAAAAGATAACTGCTGAGACACACACCAAAAAAAAGTGAAAAACATTTTGCCAAATAGTGATTGTCTTTGAATAATAGAATTTTGGGTGATTTTTTAAAACAATTCCCTCTATTTCTCTGATTTTGAACTTTTTGTAGAGTGCACACATATGGTTTTCAATTGGGGAACTAATCCAATAAATTTTATATTTTCAACTTAATACATTCTCAGAAGTAATCAAAGTAAACAAAAGCTAAATGAGAGTTCAACAAACAAGCGAATACAAATCATCTGTCTCTTAAGATAGAACTTTGACTATAACAATATTAATGAGGGTCAAGGCCTTCCCTTTAAAGGTGATTGAAGATAATAAACCTGGGTGAACACAGTGATGTGGGCTTGTAATCCCAGAGATTCAGGAGACTGAAGGAGGAGGATGACAAGTTCTAATCCAGCCGCAGCAATTAAGGGAGGCCCTAAGCATCTTAGACAGTCACTGTCTCAAAATAAAAAATCAAAAGGACTGGGGATACAGTTCAGTAGTAAACCATTATGGGTTTAATCAACATACACACTCAGAAAAAGATAGTAAACCTGCCAGGTGTGGTATACACACTTCTATAATTCCAGCTACTCAGGAAGCTGAGGCAGGAAGATTGCCTGAGCCCTGGAGTGCAAAACAACCTGGGCAACATACAAGATCCACAACTCAAAAATATTAAAAAGAGGAGGAGGGGGAGGGGGAGGGGGGAGGAGGAGGAGAAAGAAAGAAAAAGAAAAAGAAGGATATGAAGAAAAAGTAGAAATGTATATTGTAAACCAAAAAATTAGCTAATATTTCAGTTTAACTTAATTACAAACTAATTTAACTGTGATAACTCGTGGTTCCATTTTCAAAACTCAGATTATACATTTTCTGGTATTTTTCCTTCTTTCTGAATTTAAGAATAAATATAGAAAATTAAAGTCAAAGTCTTCAAAAACAATCACAATTCTACTAATTAGAACAATCCTGGAAAGAGAGAATGTGTATAATAAATTTTAATCAGGCAACATGGTATATTGCATATCATATCCAAGCTAACACTGGAAAAGCATTTATATACATAGTAAGGAAACCAATTAAAATTACATCTACTTACTGGAATTGCTGAGGATGGAAACTGGCAGGGGCAATAGGCCCTGAAGTCGGGGAAGCTACCTAACCAGTGAATTAAGGTGAACAAAGTAAAATTTGGGAGTCAAACTTGTCTAGAAACATCCACCTTCTCTGGGGTGGTTCTCACAGGAACCAGGTGCTCAGGTTTCCCACATCACCCCGACAGGCGCACACTGCTGCTTTAAGTTCTTTCATTTATATCACTTTGTCTCATTGTCACAATAATCTGAGGAGGTGGTGAGAATATCAGGGACTTTATAGTGATATGCAAATGAATGGAAAACACTAAAAAGTTTACAAATGATTTAACTAGTAGAATAATGAGTTACATGTTTTTAATTTCCCATTTCAACTTATCTTCTTTAAACACACACACACACACACACACACACACACGACATGTTATACTTCAAGAATGATTAATCCTTATTCCAAAATATACCATTCTAAGAAACAATGAAGGCTGGAAAAAAATTGTCACAAGTCTTTAAGAAGTCTAAGACTAAAGGAAACATTCACTATAAATCTTGGTCAGTGTTGTCCAAGATCATAGTCACCAGGCACCTCTGGCTATTTAAGCTCAAATTAATTGAATGTTAAAATGCAGTCCCTCACCTGCACGAATCCTAATTTGACCTATTTCAATGGCTCAATAACCACATGTGGCTGGGGCTACTATATTGCACAATCCAGGAATGAAATATTTCATCATCACAGAAAGCTAAACTCAACAGTGCTGATATGGGAAAAAAAAAAACATCAAAAATCTATTCTCTAAGCTCAGCAATAGCAGGGTCAGGAAATCCATTTAAAAAAAAATATATATCAAGAGGGTTGGGATTTAGCTTAGTGGTAGAACACTTGCACCACACCTTGGGTTCCATTCCCAGAATGACAAAGATGAAAAACAAATCAATGAGAGGCTGAACCAAGAAATCCTAATTATACTCCTAAATATATCCAGTCCCAGTTTATCACAACTCTCAGTATTTAGCCTGCATCAGAAACAGAATATATAGGAGACCTCAGGGCAACACCTCTAGATTCTGATTCTGCAGTCTGAGTTGAATTGAGCCTTAGAATTTGCATTCCCCACCACTCCTGGGATGAAACCCAGGGCCCTGCAGTAC